TTTTTTTGGCATTTTAAATTGATGACAATTAGAAATTACAAGGCAAGGTTATCTAATTAACATTTTACCAAAAGGTATCTCAACATAAAATGCATATGTTTTATTTTTGGTGTTTTTTTTTTCAAAAGCATAATATGTCCAAACAATATTAATCTATGTTATATGCAAATAAACCTGACTGATGCTGACAGTCAGCTGTCAACTCTAAGAGTCAGACGTTATCTTTAAAAACTTGTGATGTTATTGTCATTTTCCCATATGAATCAAAGCATTATCCTATTGACTGCATGAAGCAACAATTTGTGAATTGGGGAGGAAACACAGACATGTCACAGGGTCTTTGTAAGATTGATGCTTGTGAAATAACAACACAAACCATCAGTCTTTCAAACTGCACCTCCACTTTCCATTCTCAGCTTCTTTTCTCTGGTGTTGTTTCCACCTCTGGCCCTCTAACTCCTTTGTTCATCTACTTTGTGTTTGTGGCTGCTTCACACGGGGGATTATTGAGCCAATTTATCGTAGTAGGGGCTGTAGGGGAAATCCTATTGGTCCTAACCAAAGCTGCAAAGATCTCTGGAGTAGTGTGTTAGTAGTTCCAAGCTTTTACTGATTTAATCTGGAGAAAGAGCATCACCCTCAGCCTCACAGGTTGGTGTCCTTAGAGTTGTGTGAGTGAGAGTGACTAAACTCMCTCTAACTCTGTTTACTCTGACCAACATGACTGTGTGGAACTTTGTATTAATACTGGGGACAGGTGACCAGTAACCCTGAAATATGCACACAAATGTAAACTTAAAATGAAAATTGCAGTATGACACTGTTATCTTTAAATATGCCTTTTTAAACGATACAACCATCCCTCCTGTATCTATATACCAATTTTGACCTCTTATGTCTTTTTGCTTTTTATGTCCAGGGTGATGCCAATCGCTCCTATTCTGACGATGACCATTCTTCATCCAACTTTGATGAAAGCGAGAAACACGACTCTATAAAGTYGTCTGGTGAGAGTTCTAGTCTCTCCTAACTTTCTATCAATAATTACAGGGATTAGACAATGAAACTGAACCAGAGYTCAAAAGAGGACAAATTGTTGGTGCACGTCTTGCTAGTGCATCAATGACCAAGAAAGCAAGTCTTTGTGATGTATCAAAAGCCACTGTATCCAGGGTAATGTCAGCATACCACCAAGAACAATTACCACAAGATAATAAGATAAGATAAGATAAGATAAGATAAGATAAGATAAGATAAGATAAGATAAGATAAGATAAGATAAGATAAGATAAGATAAATAC